CGCCGGGCCGCCGGCTCGACCAGGCGGCTCTGGAGTCGGAGCTGCCCCCGGAGGTGGAGCCTGGCCTCGCCTTCCAGATGCTAGGTACTCAGGAGGAGGAGGAGGGCTGGGGATGTTGGGATTGGTAGTCCCCCAAAGTAAATCAGTGCACCCACAAACCCACGGACCGGACCCCTTCCTCTGTTCCATCTGCCAGGTCTCAGCTCTTACTCCACAAGGATCTTTCCCAGTTTACAGATTGGGCAAGGGAGCCTGGGGGGGGGCTCCTCCCCAGAAGAGAGTTTGGGGGGGGGAGAGTTTTATTTATTTCAAATATTTTTAACCCACCTTTTTTCTTAAAAGAAAAAAAAGCCTAATGCACCCAAGGCAGCTTCCAACAATTAAAAGACGGTATTTAAGATTAGTAGCAAGGAGGAGATACAATGCAAAAAAAAAGACCAACCCATAATAAGCAGTGCCGTTGCCGGAGATGCCCTGGGATGCACGAAGCTGAGGATTCAAGCCTTTTATCTGCTTCGTTTCTCTAGCCATCCGGGTAACGAAACATTCTCTACCTCTGAGCTGAGGATGGAACAGGCCACGGCTTCTGAGCTTCAGATCCTTTTTTAAAAGTCTTTTCAACTTTATTTTTTAAAAAATCGGCTTTTCTTTTGGAAGAAAGCTGGTGGGGGAGGGGCTTGTCCGAGGACACCCTTCTGAAGCCTTTCCCACAATGGGACCGAAATACCCATTTGCCAATCTTGTTACTGTTACAGTGGCCAAAAGTTTTCCGGTTCTCAAAGTTAACGTCATTTCACAAAATGCATAGAGTCCTTTTATGAGCCGGTGGGTTTTCTTCCAAGCCAAGGGTGCCACTAAATTGTGGAAAAATTGTGTAAAAGCAGATCAAAAGGGACCAATGTGGGCTTTATAGGCCTGTTCTGACAGGGCCAGCAAAAGATGTGGCGTTTTTCACAGTGATAGACTCTTTTTTAAAAATTGGTTTTGTTTTCTTCATCAATGTGTTTATTAAAAATGATTCTTCCCCCCCTCCATAAAATTACAGTGGTGCCTCGCTAGACGATGATAATCCGTTCCACTGAAATCGCTGTTTAGCGAAATCATTGTCTAGCTTATTTTTCCCTCTTAAAATCTGAAGAGCGAAAGACAAACGCAGGCGGTTTGCTTAATACTGTTAAAGTATTGTCCATAATGGTTACTTCTAAATTTTTTCTTCTGATGGTGGCGGAAATGCCAACCCCAATCCTAATTCTTAGTTTCCTGTTCCAGCTGTTTCTAGAAAGTTTCTCTCCTGTGACTCTGGAGAGCATCGCCTCTTTCTTCCTGTACTGACCTGTACTCTCGCCCACATCTCCATTTTCCCTCTCTCCCTCCAGACCCTTCGGGGACTCTGTGGGGCGGCAGTGACCACAGCAGGCCCCAACCCTTCTGGCTGGGATCCGATCCGAGCGACACAGAGGCTGTCTCCTGCGAGATCAACGCCTACATCCCACACGAGGCCCACGTCCAGTGGGCGGCGGGGCTGGAGCAGGGAAAGGGCTGCCCCCGGTCTGTGGGGCAGGGCAAGTGGTTCATCGCCACCGTCCAGAACCCAGAGGCCGGCTACGGGTTCAGCAGCATCCTGAACGAGGAAGAGGCGCTGCCTTGGAAACAGGAGGCGGTTGCCGGGAGCAGGATCACCACGACAACAGGTATCCGAGGTCTGCGGCAGCTTTGCCTAGGACACTCCCCCCCCCCGTCCCTGCTTCCCATGGGGCAGAAAAAGGTGAATGGGGCAAAGGAGTGAAAATAGGGAGCAAGATCTGGAGCAGCACACACTTTGGATTTTTAAAAATTTATTATTCTTTTAAAAATCTTTTTGTAAAAAAAACTTGGTGGCTTCCTGCAGAAATGGAAGGGAGGTGGACTAGATGACCTTTGACCCTTCTAGCTCCACCGAGATTCCACCACCTCTTATCCAAGGGCTTTGCTTCTATATTTTTAAATTTCTAAGGGATAACAAATAGGGATAACAAATTAAATAAATATCCCCCCCCCATAGTGCTGTACTTAGTTTAGTAAGGATCATGTTAGCCCCAATTTAGAAACATCTATGTTCTGGACTATGTGGGAAGTGTTGATGCAACGTATCTTAGCAGCGGTCCTGTGAATGTCATCACAGGTCTTAAGAGACTCAGGCATGGATTTTTCAGGGGCGGCAGCCCTGCTAAGGTGTGGCTTTAAAGAGGAACCAGCTGTATTTGTCACCAGCTGTTCACCACCAGCGAACTTTTTCAAGATGCTTCAGTGGCCAGATCTCTTATCTGTGCAGCGATCCTGAAAGTAAGAAGTATCATGGAAATGTCAAAGGTCCGGCATGATGATGGTTACTCTGTGGTCATCGAGGGCTCATATACAATCCTCAGGTGTGAGGGATCAAGATCCCACCAGTGTTCCTTGAAAGGGATTAATGCAAAATGTACATGTGGAGAAAATTGAGAAGACAGGTGTCATAAACCATAAAACAACAGAGTAGTAATGCAGACCTACAGTATATGGATGAGCTAAATATAGCTGGTGAGAGAAAAAGCCCCTGTCTTTGTTTAAGCCAAGACCGACATAACTGAATAACTGGATGTATTTCTGTTCCATCATCTCTCTTTTGGAATTCTCTCCTTGTAGTACTTTTTGTTTGAAGATTCAGCGCCCTAAAGTCTAAAGAGAACCTCCTGGAAGACTGAAGTGTCTTCCCCCTCACGGGTTATTGAATATTATTCTTCATATCACAAAATGTCCCTGGGTTTATTCTTAATTTCCACTGTGTTCAGAGGGGGGCTACTCCTTAAGGTGTATTTTATTGCATTTACTGTGTGATTGCCGCCGTGGCAGATCCTGGGAATTGTGCTCTCCAGAAGTTACCTTTTTTCTTCTGCTTCAAGCTCTGCTTCCGCCCAGACAGTCTCTTAAAGGCTCAGGATGATGGTTGGGTTTATTCCAGCCATTAGCAAGAGGAGCCCCTAAAGGGCAATAGGGGTGAAGGAGAGAGGGAAAGGGGGGGGAGCCGGGCCCATGTGGACATGGTGCACAGAGCATCAGCGCGCTCCTTCCTCTCCAACCCGACCCCTTCTTCCAGCGGTCCTGTCGGTCTTCTCCCGGACGCCCCAGCTGCAGGCCCGCCTGGGCCAGGATGTGCTCATCGACTGCGGCTTCTCTGGCCCGGCCTCCCCGTTCTCCGTGGAGTGGCGGCTCCAGCACGGCGGGGCCGGCCGGGTAGTGCTAGCCTACGACGGGGCCGCCCGCAAGGTCTCCGTGGCCGAGAAAGGGACCCGGCTCTTCCTCGACCCGGAGACCAACAACGTCTCGCTGCAGCTGCAGGGCATCGCGGCGCGCCAGGAGGGGACCTACATCTGCACCGTCTACCTGCCCCACCTGCGCGCCCAGCAGGCGATGGAGCTGAAGGTGGTGGGTAAGTCCGGGCGGGTGGGAGGTCTTGCCTGCAAACTCTCCCTGGTGGCCCCTTTGGGGTTGATTTCTGCATCCCAGACACTTTGTGCTGCTTTGCTCGCCTCTAAGGCTTCAGAAGAAGGTTTTCCTTCCCTGGGAGGTGGGCCACCTTGGAGGGTGGGGTGGCCTCCCCCTCTCCCTTTTCGTAGCCTGTACAGTGGTGCCTTGCTAGACAGTTACCCCGCATGACAGTTTATTCGCTAGACATTGACTTTCTGCGATCATTATAGCAATTCGCAAAAAAGTGGTTCCTATGGGGGAATTTCGCTGGACAATGTTTGGTCCCTGCTTCGCAAACCGATTTTCGCTAGACGACGATTTTTACAGCTCCATCCGTGCTCGCAAAACAGATGTTTTTGCGACCTAAGCCTTGCAAGACAGCAATTTAAACAGCTGATCGGGGTTCGCAAAGCGGCTTTCCTATTGCCAACCTTCGCTAGACAACGATGATTCTTCCCCATTGGAACGCATTAAACAGGTTTCAATGCATTCCAATGGGGAAATGCTTTTTCGCTAGACAATGATTTCGCTTAACAGCTATTTCAGTGGAACGGATTATCATTGTCTAGCGAGGCACCACTGTATTTTTCTGCAGGTGAATTATCATTGTCTAGCTAGGCACCACTGTATTTTTCTGCAGGTGGGGACCTGGTGTTGGGCATGATGCTGTAACTGCCTCTAACCAATCTTACCCTAATTTCTCTCTCTCTCTCTCTTTCTCTGCCCCCACAGAGCCTCCCACGGTCACCCTCCGCCCAGACCCTCTCTCGGTGCCCCCCGGTGCCCCCGTGGAGCTGGCCTGCGAGGTCTCTGGCTTTTACCCCCAGAAGACCTCTGTGAACTGGCGGCGGAAGAGCCCTGGGGGCACCCCGGAGGCCCTCGTGGAGACCTGGGAGTCGGGGCATCGGCAGTCCCCCGATGGCACTTACAGCTTCACCAGCCATGCCCGCATCCTGCCCGTCCAGCCCCAAGACCATGGCGCTTCCTACAGCTGCCATGTGGCCCACCCAGGACTGGCAGAGGGTGGCTTGCGGAAGACGGTGAAGTTCCACGTGGCAGGTACGGGGGGGGGGAAAGAAGGGGGACGCCTGGGGAGGGCTCTGCGTGTGTGCGAGTGAGACAAAGCTGTTTGCTGGTAAGACCTGTGTAGGTAGACAGGATAACACAGCTCCCATCCAGCCGAGTGAAGGGAATAAATTGGCTTGCAAAGGGCTGTGCACAGTTCATTTGTTCTTAACAGTGAGTTGTTCTTGCACCATTAGTTTGCAAAGACCTGCCTTCTGCCGGCGAGCTCTCTGGACGGGACCCTCTTCAGCTTTGGCAGAGGAGCCTGGCTGAGCTCACGCAAGGTGGTTTGACTGCCAGGTGGCGAGGCTTCCCCGGAGGCAGCCTCTGGCTTCGTCCGCAGATGAATATCCTTTGCAAGGCCATGAGCAGCTGGGCAGCTCTCGTAGCAGGGGAAAAGTTGAGCGTGAGGAAGCAGAAAAGCCGGAGAGCAAACAGAAGTCAGAGTGGGATACCTCTTCCCCTCCTTTCCCCCCTCCATCACTGCTTCCCTTCCGTTTTTCCAAGGTTCCTCCGGCCCCTCTTTGGAGGACGCCATCGGCTGCTTCCTGATTGCCTTCGCCTTGTTCGGATTCCTGCAGGCATTTCTCAGATGGGGTAAGTCACTTCCCGGTTGCTTGTCTCTCTCTTCTCTCTCTCTCTCTCTGCATCCCGCACACACCCGGCTCCCTCGTTGCTGACGGTTTCGCCTTTTTGTCTTTTTCTTTTCCAGCATCCGGAGAGCAAAAAAAATCGGAGGTAAAGTCCCAAGGCTCCCCGCTGAATCCCCAGCCTTCCCCAACCTGGGTCCTGCTTCCTATTATTTTTAGGCGGATGCTTCTTTTGTGGTGCTTGTGGGCGAAGGCAAGGTGTAAGTTTTTAGCTAGCTAAAGGAAACACCCACCCACAAGGGGGGCTAAAACCGCTTCGGCGGAGGAGATCCCTGTTCACGAACTGGCAAGAAGAGCGGCGTGTCCCCTAAAGGGGTTTTCCTGTGACGTGGCCAACACGCGGCCCGGGGCTCTCTCCACGCCAGCGACGGAAATATGGAAGCGATTGACAACAAAACCTTTGACTTGATTACAAACCTGGAAGCCGGTCACGAGAAAGCGAGCTAGAGCACGCTTTAAGAGCCCAGGGTGCATCTTAATTTTTAGAGAGTAATGGTGCAGCGAATAGAGTGATGGGACTAGGACTCCGGAGACCTGGGTGCGAAATCCCTCCTCGGCCGCAGGAACTCTCAGCACTTAGGCCGAGCTGTGGTCGGATGCTTTCCCGCCTTCTAAGTGGCTGGGTGTGTTGTGAGGGGATGAAGCCAGGTGCCCTTCCTGCTTGGGTTCTTTTGCTGGAGGAAGCCAACGGGCACCCCAGTCCTTAACCCCCTCCCACCAGATGTAAAGTTCGCAGGTGCTACCCAGTGCCAGAGATCTGGTTTTGCAGCCAGGAGGCCCCGGGTCTCACCCTTGGCCGCATCTCCGGGGCTTCTTCTTAGCAGCCTGTTTTAGTGTCAGATCTTTGTGCTGGGGCTCTGCATTTTTTTCACACTCTGGTGTGCCTGGTTTAGAGAAGAAGCAAGGGCAAGGACCACCAAGATCAAACGGTAAAGCCTGCCTCTCGGGCTGCTGCGCTCCAGGAGTCGGAGGAGATGCCCGTTGGAGGAAGTGGTTTGGGGGGGGCGGGAGGAAGGGAGGGAGAGGCCGCCGCTCCGGCAGAGGTCCAACCTGCAAGGCCTCCCGTGAGAAGGAGGGCGGAGAAGGTTGGTGGGGAGGAGGGGCATCCCCTTTCCCCTTAAACCAGTGGTTCCCCAACTTGGGTCTCCCGTTTAGTTGTTCTTGGACTACAACTCCCAGAAGCCTGCACCACGAGTTGTGCTGGGAGTGGTAGTCCAAGAACCTATGGACATCCAAGGTGGGGAACCACTCAGCCTTGGGAACTCCCTGTGAGCAAGAGGAGACAGCCCATCTTTGCCCCCCTCCCCAGGTCTACTCACTGACTCAAGTAGGGCAGACTCCTGGAGGGCAAGGCGGGAGCTCAGCCCAGCAGCTTTGCTTTGGCGAGTTCTCTCCATACCTTTGGAGCCCAGGATTAGACACCTTGTTTGCTCCCGCAGGTCCTCAATCAGGCTCTTGGCCCCTCTTTGCATGTCCTCTGTAACTCGTGTCTTTTCTCTCTGCAGAAGGTAGAATGAGCCCGGCAGCCACCAGGCCTTGCCCCTCCGGTTTGGTGGCAGCCGAGGCTCCCTTCCAGGAGAAAGGATGACGCTGGAACTTGACCTCAGGCTGCCAAACTGCTTGGACGCCTCTCCTCCCCCGTTGCCTGTCCACAGCACCCCTGGGTGTCATGTGGATAGGGAAGGCCTTCTGCAGAGTGTGACTTCTTTTGATTTTTCATGGTGTGGTTGCAAAGCCTCAGCTTTTGTGCCTAGGAGTTATTTTTTGGGGGGGGGGTGCTGTACATAGTCGCTTTCTCCCTTCTCTCTCCCCCTCCCTTATTGAGAAATTTCCCCCCACGGCTTCTGCTCTGGTGGTCTCATGGGCTTTGCAGGAAAGCACTGAGAAGCAAAAAATAAAAAATAGGGTGACCGAGGCTGCCTCTCTCCGAAAAACAGATGGCACCTCGGAAAGGGATCCGGGTTTTGTACAGTTCTCAGAAAGGGCCCTGATTTGCCGGTGCAGAGGAGCGGAGCACCTCGTGCCAAGGGTGGGACCCTCCTGGCCTTCTGCGGGGCTACTGTGGCTTGCACTTGCGAGCCTGCTCAAAAGTGCTGCTCACAACTCTCAACTAGAGATGGGCACGGACTGCCCGTTTGGCGGATGGTGTCGGCTTATTGGCCGAACAGGAGTTCGGTGCTTCCCAGCCCCGCCTCCTTGGGTGGGTTCTCAGAAAGGGCCCTGATTTGCCGGTGTGGAGGAGCAGAGCACCTGGTGCCAAGGGTGGGACCCCCCTGGCCTTCTGAGGGGCTGCCGTGGCTGGCGCTTGCAAGCCTGATCAAAGGTGCTTCTTAAAGCTCTCAACTAGAGATGGGCATGTACCGCCCGTTTGGCAGATGGTGCCAGCTTATTGGCTGAACAGGAGTTCGGTGGTTCCCACTGAGTGGGCATCCAGCCGAGGAGGCGGGGCTGGTTCTGTTGATAAATTAACCTTCACGAACCGCGAACCAGTGTTTCGTGCCCATCTCAACCCTAAACGGGTGCTCCCAAGGCGGATAAATGAACCTTCACGAACCGCGAACCGGTGGTTCGTGCCCATCTCAATTCTGAACCCTAAACGGGTGCTCCCAAAGTGAAGATGGTAGCTGTGGGGGGTTAACCCTTTCCATCTGAGCTGTTTTTCACAAGGAACTGGGAAGGATGTACCAGGGGCTCCCCCATTTCATACGAGTGGCCAGAAACACAGAGGTCGGACAAACAAATTCGATAAATTTTAAAATTAAATGATGATATGATCGAAAGACTTCCAGAGGTCAGAGCTGTGACTTACTATGAAAGTTAGTACGATCACAATCTTGTCTTATCATTTTATTTTTCCTAAGTTGCATTTTTTCAAAGACATAGCTGTGTTAAGCCTGTGGAAACCTATCCAGGCAGACATTAAAAATTAAAATTAAAAGAACTAAAATGTTTTGACACCCTGAAGACTAGCTGTTATATTTTCATGTGAGTTTGGACACCAAAGGAGTAATTAGATGTACCTCTGCAAACTCCTCTTGATATATACTGGCCTTTAAAGTGGCCAATATTTTTTATATATAATAATATCATATTATATATTATAAATATATTTTCTTGCTTGAATATTTGCAGTTGCAGGTTAACAAACACAACAAACAAATCCAGCAACTTGAAATGAAGCTGAATCAAATATTTTGGGATGGTGGGAGTCAAAACCATCCTTTTCCCAGCTGATCCCCCCCCCCTTTCCCAGAGGAGTTAAGCTTTGGGGACGGCAGATTTTGCCTCCTCTTCCTCTCCAGGGGTCACTCTTTTTCAGTTCAGTGAAATCTAGGTGTCTGGCCATACATAAGAAAGCAAAAGGATTGTAGCTTTTAAGACAAGGTGGAGCTAACAGTGAAACAAATCTGTGAGTCTTGAAGCTGCCCTAATCATTTTGGCATACCTGCTGAAACAGAGTAACAAGATTTATCTCCTCGAAACACTTCTGGGCCAGATTTTTCTGCACAAGGCCAGTATAAACTACTGCCATAGTTCTCCTTCCTGGGGTGTTGGTGTTGGCACAATTAGGGACCCTGATTCACACCCACACATGTGATCCTTCGTAGCCCTGCACCCATGCCTGTCTCTTTTTTTTGTCTGCTGTAGACTGTAAGCTCCTTGGGGGCAGAGCCATCAACTTGATGTCTATGTTCTGTTGCAGCACCTGGCGCACCATGGCTAATAAATTTTAAACTGAATCGGGTGTTTGCTGAACGGATCTGTTTGGTCACCCTTGTGAGGAGGGCTTGTTTCTGGGTTAAAACTGCTGAGCACAGAATATTGACCATCAAAGATGGGTTGGAGCTTCCTGCCTCCTTTCTCTCTCTCTCTCTCTCTCTCTCATTCTCATGTGAAAGTTTGGCCCCAGTCATGGGTTCCCGGCTGCTGAGCAGTTTCTGTGCCGTTCACAACACCTGGGTGTGCAGGAAATGGTGGTGGCGGTGGGTTTTCGTCACCTGGAAGAGGGCTTGTTTCTGGGTTAAAACTGCTGAACACAGAATATTGACCATCAAAGATGGGTTAGAGCTTCCTGCCTCCTTTCTCTCTCTCGTTCCCATGTGAAAGCTTGGCCCCGGTCATGGGTCCCCAGCCGCTGAGCAGTTTCTGTGCTGTTCACAACACCTGGGTGTGGAGGAAATTGTGGTGGCAGTGGGTTTTCGTCACCTGGAGATAAAACATGCTTGCTTTGTGTGTACAGAAAGGGCGCAGGGAGAAAAGGGGGGCAATTTAAGGGTCTTGCCAGGCCGCACCCCTTTCCGTGTGCCAGGATTAAGGCGCTGAATTCCACGGGCCTGGCTTCTGGGTCACTGGTTTGTATAAGGTTGCCTGTCTCTTGTTCGCATTCACACTTCGCCCACACTCCCCAACCCCACACACAGGAGGGCTGGCCTGGTGAGGAGCGTGCCCAATTTCAAGATTTACAATGAGGCAATGCCCCTCCCTTTTCAGATGCATTGGTGAGACCCTACGATCCTTTGGGGCAGACTTTTTGGGGTTATGAGCAACCCCGAGAGATGTGGCATTGCTTGCAATAAAATTCTTGCAAGCAATACCAATTGTTGCCTGCATTCTCAAGGCACCCTGCACGTGGGGAGGGCAGGCGTTAGTGGGAGGAAGGCTCTCCCCACCACCTCCCAACGGTGGGAACAATTTCTGCTGCGCTTGGACTGAGTCCTGCTTAGGATGCCCACATTTTTTTTCCTTTCTGGAAAAGTGCCTATTCCAGAAACCAAGGGACAGGCAGCTATTCAGCAGGTGCAGCTGACATTTCCTGTCATGGGTGGCGGAAGAGAGGAAGTCGTGCACATTTAATCTTTTTCCCTGCCAGAGACAATAGATTCCATCTGGTGTGGCAACCATCCTTCCTCATGCTGATTTAGATGCAATTCTCGACCCATTTTAAGGAGCAGGAAAAGTACGAAATTGTGCCAGCCTCGGAGTTCCATAGAACTCCGTTGTTAAGATAAAAGCAGCGGCAGAGAGGCGTCAATCATTGGCGAAGAGCTAATACAAGTGTGCTGGGCGGGGAAGTCCGCTCTTTAGTGTTTGTGAAGGCAGGGAGGCCATTTTAGGTAAGGGCAAATGAACCAAAAAAAGCCCCTGGAAGGGGTTGGCAGTAAACTTATAAGCCACACAGTGGCCACGTCAAGTGAGGGCAAGTTGTGTGTGGGGGGGTAAACTGAAGAGAAGGGTATGTGCATCTGCTGTCCTTATTAGAAGAAAATTAATGTATTAAAAGAATAAAAACGAATGTATTTTCTCTCCCTTCCACCTGAGTGGCGTTTCATAGTTAACCAATGCCCTTATTCAAGATGGCCGCGTCCTCTTCGGGGGCGGTGAAATGGCGACGCAGGGAAGGTTGCCCTTGTTCAACATGGCGATCTCGACGTCACCTTCCTGCTACCGCCTCCTTTTTTCTCCTCCTCCTCCTCCTCTCTCTCCATTGGCGGAGCGTCCTTCTCCGTGACAACAGTTCCGGGACGGCCTCCTGCGGGCGCCGATTGGAGGATAGGAAGGGCCCTTCCGCGCTCTGATTGGCCGGAGGCAGAGGCACCCGCAACCGTTGGGGTTTGGAGCGGGTCTCCACGTGGGGGGAGGAAGAGGAGCGAGAGCCGTTGGGGGTTCTTGGGGGCGTCGCCATGGAGGGGGAGAAGGAGAAGGCCTCGGACCCCGTCCCGACTAAGAAAAAGGTGAGATCGACGAGCGGGGAGTTTCTCTCCACCCTCTGCACGGGAGGAGCCTAGAACATGTGACTCTTGCATTCCCAGGGTACTGGGATTTGTAGTCCAGACCCGTAACTTTCCCAGGCTGTGATGCTCAGAGACCTGGAGATGCCCTCACCCGGCAGAATCGGAGAGAATCGAAGCGGTGTGTGTTTGTGTGTTGACGGGCCTCCTGGACTACAAATCCCAGAATCCCCCAACCAAAGGCGCTTCTCAGCCGAGGGGGTCGGGGTCGCTCGTTCAAATGGCAGAGAACGGAAGGCAAGGGCTTCGCCTTCTCCAACCGCCGAGCCCGCTACTCCCCTGTGGGACAGTCTGGTGGCCTGGAGTTCCGCGGACGATGGCGGGGACCGACCCTGCGTCCGGCGGCTTGCTGGCTCCCTACAGAGCCCATGTTTCCGTCCTTCGGGGAGGGGTTGTGTCGGTTCATGGGGCAACCAGGCTGGACGTGAAAGTCTTCGCGGTTTCAGGGAGGGAGCCGATCTAGGGCCGGCTGCTGGCCAGAGTCTACAGAGTCTAAAATTCATGCATAAAAGGGGGGGGGGGTTTAATGGCATCCTTCTTGTTGAAAGCAGCTTTGAATAATTCCATTTTTACCAGTTTCCTGAACATCAAGAGAGAAGGAACCTGGTGTCTCTCAGTCGGTAACTTGTTCCAGAGATTGGGGGGGGGCACCACCAAAAAGGCCTGATTCCTTGTAGTTAGCAACATGGATTGAGAGGAGTGGGTAGAACAGTTAACTGATTTCTGGGAGAGATAGTTCAACAAGCAATGAGGTCCTAAACTATTCAGGACTGTGTAAGTCACAATCAGCACCTTGAATTGAGCAGGGAACCAATGAAGAAGAAGTGCCAAGACTGGAAATATGATTGAATTGACTGGTCTCTAGTAAATTTGCTGGCTGCCACATTTTGTACCTGCTGAAATTTTGTACTGTTTCCAATGGCAGCTATTCAGGACTGTGTAAGTCACAATCAGCACCTTGAATTGAGCAGGGAACCAATGAAGAAGAAGTGCCAAGACTGGAAATATGATTGAATTGACTGGTCTCTAGTAAATTTGCTGGCTGCCACATTTTGTACCTGCTGAAATTTCTGTACTGTTTCCAATGGCAGCTCTACGTGGAGAGCATTGTTGTTGTTTAGGCATTAAGTTGTATCTGACTCTTTGTGACCCCATGGACCAGAGCACGCCAGGCCCTCCTGTCTTCCACTGCCTCCCGAAGCTGTGTCAAATTCATGTTGGTCGCTTCAGTGACACTGTCCGTCCATCTCGTCCTCTTATATTCCCTTCTCCTCTTGTCTTCACATTCTCCCAACATCAGGGTCTTTTCCATGGAGTCTTCTGTTCTCATGAGATGGCCAAAGTACTGGAGCCTCAGCTTCAGGATCTGTCCTTCCAGCGAGCACTCAGGGGTGATTCCCTTTTCTGTAACTTTCCCTATCTCCCTTGCATTTTGTTTCCCTTCTCTTCTCTGCTATTTCTAAAGCCTCGTTGGACAGCCCCTTTGCTTTCTTGCATTTCCTTTTCTTTGGGATGGTTTTTGTTGCTGCCTCCTGTACTATGTTACGAGCCTCCATCCATAGTTCTTCCGGCACTCTGTCCACCACATCTAATTCCTTAAATCCTTAAGTGGAAAGCATTACAGTAGTCTAATTTTGAAGTTTCCAAGGCGCGAACCGCTGTTGCTAGGCCTTTCTGATCCAACTAGGGGCTCGGAACAGGGGCTGGTCACCCCACTGTGGTCAGTCCTGAGATGGAGAACCGGTATGGCACAGGGTGAGGCTGGACTCGGATGACCAAGGCGCGAACCGCTGTTGCTAGGCCTTCCTGATCCAACTAGGGGCTCAAAGGAAGAAATGGCAATGAAGAAGATTTCGGAACAGGGGCTGGTCACCCCTCTGTGGTCAATCCTGGGATGGAGAACTGGTATGGCACAGGGTGGGGCTGGACTCGGATGAGCTCTAAGGGGACCTCCTGCAATGGCTTTCTGCCTTGCCAGATCTTGGAAACAGTTTCCAGATGCCAAAAGATCCTCCCGCTCGCTTGACTGGTGGCCAGGGGTCCTGGGCCCGAAATCCCTCCAAACGTCTTGACAGCTGGTGTAGCGGATCCATAAGGTTCCCAGCTTCCTCAATCCAGCTCTTTTCTTTTAGCCTTTACTCAGGGACTCGGTTGCTGAAAACAGTACATTTTTATCCCTGGCACAGAAAACAGAGGGACGTCTGAAGATGTGATTCTGCTTCGTACTGGAAATCAGGCGGTTGAGCTTCCTTGCTCTGCCTGGTCTACCTGACTGGCAAAAGCTGTTTGCAACTCCCAGCCTGGCCTGGAAGTGTTGTGTGTGTGTGTTTCTAAAATGAAGGCCAGACGTGTGCTGTGTCAGTGTGTGTGTGTGTTTCTGAAATGGAGGCCAGACGGGGCTTCTAGAAAGCCGGTGGTCCAGGAGGGGGTGGGACACACTTGGTTCTAAAGTTATTTTCTCTCGTCTTGTATTTTCCCACTTGACGTGGTTCGAGCAGGAGGTGGTGGGATATGAACTCGGAAGGGTGGCCTTGGAGGCCAAGCGGAGGCCCTGCGGTGGCCCTGCGTCCTCTCCCCTCCTGACAGCCGAACTGGGAACATTGGGACACGGAGAGGTGGGTGGGAATGGAGGCTATCAAAAGGCTTTCGTCTCCTCGTCTTGCTGACCCACCCCGTCTTTTCTCCTCCTCCCCACAGAGGAAGCAGCCCCAGAGGTACTGGGAGGGGGACGGGGGCCAGGCCCCAGAGCCTACAGGGGCCACAGCGGCAGACACGAAGAAGCCACGGCCGGATGGGGGCTCCCGGAGGAAGAAAAGAGAGCCTGACCGCCAAAAGAACAGGATCTCCGGGGTGAGGAAGGGGGAGAAGGGTTTGGGGAGGCCCAGAACTGGCCACTGCGTTTTGGGGCTGGGAAGCAAAGTGTGGGCACCCCACCCCAATAGCGTCTCCTTTCTTGCTTGTGCAGAAGGTGGATCCCTTCCCTGGGGACCCTGCCGTCCCGGCTGAACGGATTAAGAAGTTCCAGAGAGGAAAAAAAGAGAAGCTGGTGAGTCCTTTCTGCCCCCCCCAAAAAAACCCTCCCCTCTGAGCCCCTCGGTGGGGACCACGGGGCCACCCCTGCTTTGCCCCCAACTCCTCTTTTTTTTCCCATCCCGCTCCTGCAGAAGGCGGCCTCGAACCGGCGTCTCAAGCACCAGCTGGCCTTGCAAGAAGAGAAGGCGGAGGCAGCTGCCAAGCAAGCGGCCCGGACGGAGCTGCTGCTCCTGGAGGAGCCCGGGTAATCATCCTGCCCCCCACCCAAAACCCCTGCCAGCCTGACGGCTTGTGTCTCTCAGGGTTCTGGCCCTCCGGTTTCTGCTGAAAGTCTGGGCCACCCCGTCTGGTGCACCCTCACCCCGTCCCCATGGGAGCAGGAGAAACACAGGCAGACCTGTGGACCCCAAACGGAGGCCATCTTGCTGAGGTTGTGGGGGGGGGATGAACTAATGGCCAGCTGAAATGAGGGTGTTTGGCCTTTGAGGGGCTCGCTTTGCCCTGCAAAAATCCACTTCTGTGCCACCAGTTGTGCCATGGTAAAGGAGCATGGGCCCCGTGTTTGCAGGGGAATTTCTGGGGAGGAGAGCTCCATTTTCATCTCCCTGATGGGTTTGGGAGCCAGGTGTGTCTTGAAGCCCAAGGAACAGCTGGGAACTGCCAAGCCTTAGACGAGCTGAGTTTTTATTTGGGAGCTAGGGTTCACGGACTCCATCCCACGACTTCAGCTGCATGGAATAAACAAATATTAGGGGCATCCCCCCGAAGAAAATAAATATCAATCAATCAATCTTTATCTGTGGTCTCTGACCTATTAAAATACATACAGAGCTGCATGGAATAAACAAATATTAGGGGCATCCCCCGAAGAAAATAAAAATCAATCAATCTTTATTTGTGGTCTTTGACCTATTAAAATACATACATGTAGTATTTAAAAGAAATGGAAGCAATTAAAACATTTCAAGACAGTTAAAACAGTATAAATTAATAAGATATGTTACCCATACTGGATTTGTCTCCAGTGTGGAAGGGATTGTCACTCTCGAATTGGCCTCCTCAGCCACACTAGACGCTGTTCCAAGGCCTCCATACAGAGCACGATACCATAGTCTTTCGAGACTGAAGGATGCCTACTACTACTGTATTATATACAATCAACCAGTCTTTATCTTGATTGACTGAAAATAAATAAGTGTTAACACTGTGGCTCCTGACATTTTTTTTGAGGTGCAGCCCCCTTTTATAATCACCAAGTAACCTCTGCCCCCCCCCACCTGCCACGTTGGCCTAAGAAGTTATTGGGCCTTTGGCTGTAGAATAAATTTGTTTTGTTGACATAAGAAGCCCTTTTTATTGGGGTAACGTCTCCCCTTCTCAGGAAGCCGACGCCCCTTTCTCCCGCGAAAGATCCTGTTTCTCAAATATGCACGTACACCCGAACTTTTATTATCCCACTCTGAAAATCCAAGGAGGGACTTAAGTATCTAAACAATTTAGCAAGGGGCACCTCCCATATAAAGCAACCTGTTGGCCCCCTTCCATCCAGTAAACAATTTGCGAACCCCCCAGGTTGAGAAACACTGTGCTAGCGAGTAGAATCTAGGGGTCCGTAGCTGATCCCCCTTTTTCCTTCCCTGCGTAGCTGCGTGTTTCTGATCCGACTCGTGCCACCAGCGCCGTTCGGGAAGGCTTGGCATGAGATTCTGTTTGTCGGCTCGTCTTTCAGCAGATCGGAGAGCAGGCGTTGCATTTGTCCTTGTGAAACGAACTGGCAGGAAGCCGATTGTGGTGTTTTGGCCCAGTTGGAATGGGGGCAAACAGAACTGTGCCTGAGTCCTCCCCCCTCCCCACAAGGCTCTTGCCCTCCAACTCCTATGTCCAGCTGGCCAGACAGGCAGAAGAGTTGGAGGTGGGGAGGAATCAAGGGGCCAGCTGCCTTCCGGGAAGGAGGGCTTTTACCTCTGAGCCTGGCTCATCCCTGAGAAATATTGCTCTGTGTTGAGCAGCCTCGTCGGGTGTAAGCAAGTCTCCTTTTTGTATGGGGCGGATCAAGCGGCCCCCCAGCGGACATCATCGGCTCTGCCTTGACCTCGCCAGACCTCATCCAGCTTGACTTGGCACACGGATGCTTTTACATCACCGGCTTTTAAAGGCCACCAAACTCAGGGGTCATCTTAAAGCTGGCAGTGTGGGCTTTTTTTTTTTTTTTAAATTCAACTGAGGTTTTAGTGAAAAGAGGGGGGGAAAAAGAGGGGGAAAAAGGGGGCATTTTTATAAATTTAAAATGGATGTTTAGAATTCATGTCATTTTTTTAAAAGATTTTTTTAAAAAGATATATGTGATGATCATTTTAATTTAAAATGTGCTGCAGTTCTAAGATTGTGCCAAGGAGCAGGAACTATAAATTCTAAATGTGAAGCAATATTTATGCATGCAAAAAGTTCCTATATTGCTCCTCAGCGTCACGGGGCTTTATCAGCTTCCACCAGGACTACATAGCTAATCTTTTTCTCTCCCTGAATCCTCCACGTAGTTGTTTCTCTAGAGATGCATCCGTGTTCGTACAACTACGTTTACAAAGGAGAAGGAAGTTTATTTCTTAATTCCATTGTTGGAAGAAAAACAAGATTCCAATTAAAGAAATTGGATAATCGGTATAAATAAGGACAGCCCTGTTTTCCAGGTCATATTGGAGACATTCCCGGAGCTTTTAGAAATATGAACACGATATAAGGGGAGATGCTAGAAGCCCTGTTAGTACATACATAATTGCTGTCCGTTAAGTTGCTTAACATTAAGTTGTGTGGTGGCGCTGTGGGTTAAACTGCAGAAGCCTCTGCAATGCAAGGTCAGAAGACCAGCAGTCGTAAGATCGAATCCACGCGACGGAGTGAGCTCCCGCCACTTTGTCCCAGCTCCTCGCCAACCTAGCAGTTCGAACGCATGCAAATGCGAGTAGATACATAGGTACCACCTCGGTGGGAAGGTAAAACAGCATTCCCTAGTCACGCTGGCCACTTGGCAACAGAAATTGTGTTCGGACAAGCGCTGGCTCTACGGCTGGAAAGCAGGATGAGCACTGCCCCCTAGAGTCGGACACGACTGGAATAAGCATGTCAAGGGGAACCTTTACCTTTACCTAAGTTACTTTAAATGATGTTTCTTTGAGGGTTTTCTTGAGAACTGGGAAGCCGGCTACCACCTATCGGCAGCTTTGTGTTGACAGAGTCAAACCTTCGTTAATTGCCGTAAGGCCGCTTCCAACTCAAGGCAACCCTATGAATGAGCAATCTCCAAACTATCCTGTCCTTCATGGCCCTGCTGCACTCTTGTAGACTCAAAGTCTGGGGCTTCTTTTAGGAAGCCGCTCCATCTCGTCTTGGATCTTCCTCTTTTCCTGCTGCCTTCCGCTTTTCCCCCAGCATTATTGTCTTTTTCCAAAGAATCCTGTCTTCTCATGAGGTGCCCAAAGTAAGGATAGCCTTACAGTTTTGTCGTTTTTGCCTCCTGAGATAGTTCAGGTTTGATTTGGTCCAGGACTCCCTTGTTTGTCTTTCTGGCTCAACCCTCTTGCTTTGTTACCTAAAAAGGGTAAACGTTCAGGTGTTCCTAGCTGGGAATTAGCAAAGCTCTCCTCCAGCGCCGTGTTTCAAACAAACTCCCCCAACTCTGCCTCCAGTTTATGAAGTATTTAGGTTGCGAACAGCCTTCCCGCTCTCACCGATGCCTGGTCAAAGCTCTCCTCCAGCGCCATGTTTCAAACAAACCAAGCCCTTATTCCCCCAGCTCTGCCTCCAGTTTATGAAGTATTTCGGTTGCGAACAGCCTTCCCGCTCTCCCCAATGCCTGGCGTTGGGGGTCTCCCTCTGGACAAGGAGCCCATGAAAAAGATATATCGCGGGAAATGGGTATTGAAATTTCACCAGCCAAGAGCGCATTTTTCCAGGTGGGGAGACACTGTGTGTTTTTGAACTGAATCATTCCGAGTATTGATGTAAAATACCGTTCTTCACCCTTGCCAGGTTTCTGGAAGGCGAAGAAGGCGAGGACACCTGTACCATCTCCCAGTCGGACATTGCAGACGCGGTGGACCTCGCGGCCGGTGCCAAGGTGGGGGTGGTTTGGGGCTTTCCAGGAGTGGGGAGCTTCTCAGTGGAGCCACGGAGAGTCCTTGGTGCCTGACTTTGCCTTCTCTCCCTCTTGGCAGCATTTTGAGCTCAGGCTGAACCAGTTTGGGCCCTACAGAGCGAGCTACACCCGCAACGGCAGGTGAGTAGCCGTGGGACTGGATTGGGACTGGGCTTTGGCCATGGAGCTGTGTGTGTGTGTGGAGCATGGGCGTTGGAGTCCAGAAAAAGTGGAGCTTGGAAATAACAGATTGTTGCTTTTCTGAGTGACAAGGATGTAAGTAAACTGCATCCCAAAAAAACCACCTAATGACTGAAATCCTGTTGTTTTGTTACATAAAAGATGTAAACATGCAGTCATTCCTAGCTGGCAATTAACAAGTCCCTGCACCCTTGGGAATCCCAGTGGGGACTTGTTAATTGGGAGCTTGGAAAAATTGAATGCTGTGCTGTTTCTGCAACAAAGCAACAGGATTTCAGCCTAGAATCCCATTTATTTTCAAAAATCACTTTTAAAAAGGGTATTCTTAGACAGGCTTCTCCAAGAATGTTTTCATGGTTTTTACTGTTTCTTTAGCCATGCTCAGCATGCCGAGCACTCCTCGTCCATTCCCACTGACAGATCTTTCCCCAACACCCCCATCTTCTGCCCCACTGCAGGCATCTCCTCCTGGGAGGACGCCGGGGCCACGTGGCAGCTCTGGACTGGCACACGAAAGCCCTGATGTGCGAAATCAACGTCATGGAATCCATCAACGACCTCACGTGAGTGTGTGTGTGTGTGTGCATGAGAGCTCCTGGTGTCATTTCATAAGGGAATATGAATTCACTCCGAGCTGCAATCTGAACTTCAAACAAATGGTCCCAAGTGTTGAGTCCCGTAGAGTTCGGACCAAAATCCAAACTGGACTCACTAACCCCATGTAATTGGGAGTTAGGTGGTGAATGGGATATATTTTTAGCTGATGGATGGAAAAAACCCCAGTTCCCCCCCCCATTTTTTCCCATAGCTGTCTTTTCCCCCCAGAAAAAATTGGAAACAAAATGGAATGTGGAATATGTTCACTTACAATGTTAAATAATATATCTATGACATGGTGTTCAGACTATATAACATGAAGATTATTAACGAAAGATCCCTGAGATTTTATGTATTTAAGTTCTTTGCGAGAACGGCGTCTGGATCTGGCCCAAGAGCCGCCTTGTAAGTGCAGAATAAGGTTACACGAAGGCAGTAGGGAAAGAGGAAGGCTGGGCTTGAGATGGTATGACTCAGTAGAGGAAGCCACAGCCATGCATTTGCAAGACATGAGCAGGAATGATCAGGACCGGACTTTCCAAACCAGGAGCAAATGGACAGTGAAAAGACAACAACAGCAGTTTTAATCATTCCAGCCCTTCTGTTTCAGGAGAAAATGCCACGGAGGAGGGAAAAGCGCCTCACAGGGGTTTCTGCTGGTTTTCTGTTGAGTAGAGCCCAACAGTAATCAGTGCGGTATAAAAGTGTAATCAGTCAATCAATTGTTAGCAGCCTCTTGCAGGTTTTCGAAACTTGGCAGGCAGTGCATTCTGCAGAGCTGTGTGAAGTCGCCCAACGTCACTCTCGTGGCAGGGAGATCGGCTGACGTACTTTTTGGCCTTGCAGGGGGACCGTGCATCTGTATAGGTCTTTTGCGTGGCAGGGAGATCGGCTGACGTACTTTTGGCCTTGCAGGGGGACCGTGCATTTGTATAGGTCTTTTGATGAGTATATGCGTCTTTCCATGTGCTCCGATGAACGTGGACTAGGAGTTCTGCTTATATTAGCAACAGGAGCTCCTGCTCCGAACCCCTCGATCCCCCCCCTCAAAAAAAAAGTCTGGTGGAAGCCTTTCAGACTAACTCATTGTTTTATCTTGGCGTGAGTTTTTCTGGGTCAGGACACCCTTTTCCAGATGTGCTGGAATGCCCCAAAACTGACAACAACCTAGGCGCCGTTCACCTGAAAGATGCCGTTTGAGACTTCCTGTTTTTCTTTTGTGTTGGGTTTGCTGCTGTCATTGCGTTGGCTGAAGCAAGACGAACGCACAGTGGCTTCTCTGGAACCCATTTTGCCTTCTATAGAGAGCAAGCAAATTAAAAAAAAAAACAACTTAGAATGGCTCCAAGCTGGGCTAGTAAGGCTGACATTTGCTCGCTTGAAGCTCGGGACTTTCTGGTCCCTCACCTTCACTCTCTCTATCTCTTTCACACACACACACAGAGTTTCTCTCTGGGGCGACGACACCCCTGTGAAGTACGTCAGGCTATGAGAGAGGAGCTGGAGGCCACCTCCTGAGTTTTCGTGGCTCAGCAGAGCCTCAAACCAGCCCAGTCCTCTAAGCACACCATGCCTCGGATCCTCCCCTCTCTGGCGGGATTTCCTTCTTCCTTCTCCTCATCCTCCTTCCGGTGTGTCTTCCCGCACCCCCAGGTGGCTGCACACGGAAACCATGTTCGCGGTGGCCCAGCGCCAGTGGCTGTACGTCTACGACAACCAAGGCTTGGAGCTGAACTGCCTGAAGCGTTTTTACCGGGTCCAGCGGATGGAGTTCCTGCCTTACCACTTCCTCCTGGCTACAGCGGTGAGGAAACTGCGGACCGGGAGGAGGGGAGGGAAGGGCGCCCCAATTATCTTGGTCTTGGTGTTGCTTCGGGGTCCTCTTTGTGAACCTGCGGGTGGGCAACGCAGCCTGTGATTTTTTGCAGACTCCCGAATCCAGACACCCCCCCCGTCCCTCCTCTTCTCCCCACAAGGAAAGGAGAGAAGTTTTCTCCGGGAACCACCTGGACTCAGCTGTTCCCTTGGAAAGAGAATTCTTCAATAAAACAAGGCTCAGCTTCTCCACAACTCTCTGACCCACCTTTCTGCCACCTCAAAAGGGCTCGGACGGAAAACAGACGCAGACTCCTGGCAGGCCCTGCAGGGCAGAGCTCCCTGCCTGATTTACAACTCTGGGGCTGGAATCCTGTTGCAGGGTTACGCAAACGGCGTTCCTTCGGGAAGCAACCCTCTGGAAGTTACGACATCTCCCTAGGCCATTTTCCGTCGCAGTACTCAATTGGGCGACTCCACACCTGCAACAGATAAGGCTGGTGGAGATGTCTCAACAGTCAGCAGTCCTCTTCCAGATGTCACACTTTCTGCGCAACACAATTCCAGCCTGTTTTTCATGCTCAGTGCAGTGTTGGAAGTCCCTCTAATGAAGGATGTTGGGGATCCATCCACACGCTAATAAAAATCCGCTGGGCAAAGACTGACATGCTTGGGGGTTGAGAATAGGGGTTTGCACGGCATCCTGAAGTGTTGGTGTTGCTTAACGAGGCCGTCTCATTCCCCTTTCTCCTGCCCGTCCTTCCTACTGAGTAGCTTAGAAGTTAAAATAAGGTTGGAAAAACATGCAAGCAAGTCCCCTGGAATATAGAGATTCCTCCCCCCAAGTTGGGGCTGCTAAAGGTCATCTAGCCCACCCCCGGTTCCCAGCACAGACAAGCCTTGAAACGTAAAGACGCTAGTTATGCAGAGCCTCTTATCAGACTGCTTCCATTCTTCCCACTTAAATTTAGCAAAGTAAGAGACTTAGAGATGGGGAGAAAATGACACGAGAGAGTTCTTAGTGGTTATAATATAGTATATTAGATATGGCTACGCATATATACAAGGCAACATACATTTAGCATAACAACCTTCAGATATTAGATATGGCTACACATATATACAAGGAAACATACATTTGGCATAACAACATTCAGCGCAATATTGACATAGAAGCAAGTGACCACCAGACTTACTGCTGAGCGGTAAGGTCTATTCTGTCTCTGTTACATTTATACCCAGAACAACCAATCACATTTCTCCATTTACAGCTGGTCTTGCTTAACAATCAAGCCTTATATCAGCTTGTTACATCTGCATGCTGTTAGTCATTACATTGGCTTTTACCTTACATTTGTGACTCTGCACTTCCATTACAATATTAAAATTTAACTCCCTGTTCACCAGAAGAAAAAAAATCCTGACAGAGCTATAGTCCAGGACTGTTATCTTTTGTGTTTGGGGAGGGGGGGGGGTGTCCCTAGGCTGGTGGCCCTTAACCCCTTCACCTATTAGCGTTTATGTCGTGCAGGCCGTTCCAAAAGCTCACCGTTCACCAAAAGAACAAAATCCTGACAGAGCCGTAGTCCAGGACTGTTATCTTTTGTGTTTGGGGAGAGGGGGGGTGTCTCCAGGCTGGTGGCCCCTTGAGCCCTTCACGTGTTAGTGTTTATGTTGTGCAGGCCGTTCCAGAAGCTCACTGTGTTTGGTTTTTGTGCCCCTGCTCAGAGCGAGACGGGATTCCTCCAGTACCTGGACATCTCCGTGGGGAAGGAGGTTGCTGCCATCTGCACCAAGGGGGGCCGGCTTGGCGTGATGGCCCAGAACCCCTCCAATGCCATCATCCACCTGGGCCATAGCAACGGTAGGCGAGGGCCACCCGTGTTCCCGACCCCTCTCTTCTGTGGGGTGTGGGAGAAGCGGAGAGGCCGGCCTGGCTGCCTCTCGGTCTTGGTCGGTCTCTCCGGAAGCCTCTCGCTCCCTCTTTCTAACCCCTGCCCCCCCACCCCCAAAAATATAGGCACCGTGACGCTCTGGAGCCCCAATGTCAAGGAGCCGCTAGTCCGGATGCTCTGCCACCGAGGGGGTGTCCGGGCCCTGGCCGTAGATGCCACTGGCACGTGAGTGCGATCATTTTTATTTTATCCATTGAGTATTTATATATGTATGTCTTTAGCAGGAAAACATGGTCAGCTAGGATTTTTAGAAATGGTTTTTATTGCTTTTGAACTTCCCCTCTGCTGACCTGCAAAGGATTTGGGTGTCAGATTTTGCTCAGTAGAAATGATGGCGTGGCTGTATTCAGGCACTGGGGCACCTTCACTGCTAGTTGGTCTAATCCAGGACCCTTCTCTCTTAGGGTGGCTGGAGGGCTTTTGGTCGGGGGTGGGGTGGGGGACGTTCGATCCTGCAGGTCTTTCTTGTCAGAGTAAGATTCCCATCAGCTCCCACCACTGTAAACAGTGGCTGGGGATACTGGGATCTGAAGTCTGAAACTCCCTGGAAGGCCCAGGTTTCCCTCCCTTTCATGTAGCCGCGTTGAGTAAATGATCCGAGCTACAGAATATATTGGGGTAACGGGCAGGGAGGGAGCCCCTGGCTGGTTGTTTCCCTCCCCATACGCAGATTATGGGAGGGGGTGAGTAGGTAGGTAGGTAGGTAGGTAGGTAGGTAGGTAGGTAGGTAGGTAGGTAGGTAGGTAGGTAGGTAGGTAGGTAGGTAGGTAGGTAGGTAGGTAGGTAGGTAGGTAGGTAGGTAGGTAGGTAGGTAGGTAGGTAGGTAGGTAGGTAGGTAGGTAGGTAGATAGATAGATAGATAGATAGATAGATAGATAGATAGATAGATAGATAGATAGATAGATAGATAGATAGATAATGATGGGATCTGTTGTACAAAGATTCTGAACTGCTGGATAGCTCAGCGGTTGAGGTCTCTGGCTGTGGAGCCAGAAGCTGAGAATTCGGGCCTCCTTGACAGGAGCTGGGGTTGATGATCTATAAGGTTCCTTCCAGCTCTGCCGTTCCAAGAGGAGGAGGAGGAGGAGGAGGATGAACCCTCTGAAACAGGAAAATTGCTCTGGTGGTGATGAAAACTTTTAGGTGCTCTTGGCTAAAGTGTGGGGGAAAAAATAATTTCTAGCATTTCTTCATCCAACGCAGGTGTGGCCATCATGGTGAGGGTGGTGGAACTCCCTTCCCCAAGGCCACGTTGCCTCTGATTCTGCCGGTGTGTGTGGGTGGGTTATCCCCGAAAGCCTTCAAACCCCCTGGCAGGCTTGTAGGGGAGAATGGAGCCCTTCAGAGGGACCTGAACCCGGGTTGTCTCTCCATATCTCTCTCTCCTCCCCCCCGACCCGCAGGTACATGGCCACCTCGGGCCTCGACCGGAAGCTCCACCTCTACGACCTGCGTGCTTACCGGCGCCTCCACTCCCTGTTGCTGCCCATGGGGGCCGGTCATCTGGACTTCAGCCAGCGGGGGCTCCTAGGGGCCGCTTGTCAGGAGGTCGTCCAGGTAAGGGGTTGGCAGGGGAGGGTGCTGTGCAGGGGGGGGAGGGAATCCTGCCTCT